GACCTACTGATTCAGAGGAGGCTGTTATACTAGCTGTCTACACCTATATTCGTTGGTATGTATGGGATAGAGGGGCTAGGTCATCTGCGAAGTTCAAATCGCCTAGTTGCATCCAAGCTGTTCATTGTATTCTGTACTTCCACTAAGATGTAGAGGTCTTTATAATACAGCCGACCACAAGAAGAGAGAAAACGAACAAAAGCAGCCTTGCTTGACACAGGTCTTTACTTGGAATACATCTGTGATCTATCTTCCATGTACGACCTTGCAGTGCAGTAAGCCGTGTGATGTTGATGATCTTCGCAGGTACACCATGTCGAAGAAGGTTCCATAAATCTCTCCTATCTGCGCTGTCAAACGTTTTCTCTCAGTCAAGAAAGTTGTTGTGTAGTGACGAGTCCCATTTTTGTAGATAATCCAACCCGAGAGAGCATCAGAGCCTGATGGATTAAGTCCTCAGATCTTTAGGGATGTTAGTCCAGCTTTACCGGTTAAGTTAACTGAAATCTTAGCTAGAACCTGAGAACTGCATGAAATCTCATCTGACTGGTCTCGATCGCTGATCATCTCAGTTTATAAGAAGGGACAAAAATCGTTTTGTGACAGTCACAGAGGAATCTGTTTAACTAAGATGTCTAAAATATTAGCCTCGTTAATACTTCGACGCCTAATTAGAGCTCGTGAGGAGCAAACCCGAGAAAACCAGGCTGGTTTCAGACGTAAACGATTATGTATAGACCGAGTATTCACCCTTCACCAGGTTCTGAAACAGACATACTTTTCGATATCCGATTATAGTTATATTTCTTGACCTTAATACGGAGTTCAACTACGAAGATCGTGAGGTTCTGTGGCGGTGTCTATCATTGAAAGACATCCCAAAGAAGTACATTGACATCATACAGGCTCTCTTCTCGAACATTTCTAGTTGAGTCAGAGCTTGTGAAGAACTATCAGGGTCATCTGCTTCTTCTATTTTTATCCAACTTGTCATTGACATGTTATTAGAAGTAACACTTTGATTGCTTACCTTTTCAGGAGTTTTCCTATCGAGAGATTCACTTGTTGACTTGGAATACCTCGATAATATAGTTCTGTTTGATGCTGACACAATGCCGTCTTCTGATCACATTAAATAACGACACAAGCATGTTTCGGATGTGATTCTAACCTTTCAAATCCAAAATGTTGCTTCAGGATTGACCTGAGTTAGTCATAGGGAGTGAAGTAGTTGGACGTATCGACCACCTCACTTATCTTGAGAGTCTCATCCGCACTGACGGTCTGATTTTTGGAGAAATCTCAGCAGGAATTCAGAAGGTTTTATTGGCATTTGCCAACCTGCTGTGTGGGGAAGATATCGTGCTTCCGGTTTATAATTGCTTGATGAGTACATTCGCTAAGTGATCATAATTTTTTTCTGCTTTGACAGTCCTAATTTTCCGAGAGTTTATTACTATGTAAATTAATTCTTACTCTATGTTACATTATCGTATGCCAGTCATATATGTACAGGTAAAATTATAATGTTTATTACATGTAATAAAATATTTGACGTCAAATACTAACAGACAATATTTAAGATTATAGGGATTATTCTGAACGCCACAGCAGGTAATTGTTGATTAAATGTTAGCTAAATAATCATGTTACTTGTCAGGTAAAAAAAAGTAGATAATACCTATAGATTTACACATTATCAAATATCAATTACAGACTTAATGTGTGATCGAACTTCTGGCAGTTAGCTTGTACTAATTATGACCCTGAGTCTTGTTGGAAACACTTATAAATATTTATTCTTCGTCATTGTTCAATAGATTTCATTATCTTCTAAAGATTAATAGTGTGTCTCAGTTGAAATCGCTAACCAAATGTCTTACTCAGCAAGGAGTTTGAGTAGTATTTCAATCTTACTGTAAGGTTTCGCTAACAAAGTGAATGTATATGTTTGCCAGTTCCAAGGTTTGTTGGTAGTAAAACAGGATTTCACGTACAGAATATTCGGCCGTTTATTTACTGGTTCGAGCCTTACTGTACCAGTAAAGGTTTCATTACGTCTAAAGTACATTTATCAGTAACACAATACATAGATAATAATCTGATGTATATAAGCTGACTGATTTGATTTAGTTCGGTCACAGTACCTCACTACACAAGAATAGTCAAACTGGTAGATGCACATAAAGGCGTCCAGACGAGTGAGGGAAGATTTTTTGTTCTTTCAAACATCCTCAAATGTGTCTACATCTAATCGGGTAGTTTGTGTACTTCATCCTATTGGAAGTCGTGGGGTATCAGTATAAAGAAGTCTTGAAGCAAAAAGTGACTGCCATATCTTTGTTTTTCACTCAATGGTTTTCTAGTTGATTTAAGATCCTGGCGACTAATACTTGCAAACAATACAAACTTCTTCACAAAATCATGTAATTAAACCATTATTAATTTTTTTTAACAATCCCATAAATATTGATGCTTAATCTAAATATATTTAGGCGTATTAGAATGTTTTAATAAATACTGAATGCATAGTTAGTTTAAAAGATATAAAATCCTAAATCATTGAAAAAATTGATTGGAGTACATGAATTCGAGTTACTGAACTTAATACTAGAGTTTAACAAATTGTTATAACGTTGGACTGACTAAATTGCGTCAACCTAGGCATTCAAACCAATCGTATCATCAAGAGCCAGCCAGATATTACGAATAACGATGTACATTTGCACAATCCAGATAGTAAAGAGGTGAGGAAGCACAATGAAGTTATTTACAATCTAAAGTAGCTCACTACACTTGCGATCCATAAGATTATTTCGATCTACGTTCACTTGCCAATCACCCCTTCCATCGAACATCTCACTCATATGTAAGAATTGTCACTTAAGTTGAGAATAAGAGTCAAGGACAGTTCAACGGAAATATTCCATTCGACTGCGTCACTTACTCGAGCCCTACTAATGTACTTGCAGTGATTCACGAATAAATCAGCCTTTTGGAAAATAGTGAGTAGATTGCGGAATGTCAAGTGTCAAAAGAGGGTTAAAAACGATCAGTGATCTGAAGAAAAGGTGAGATGACGTCAAATGTGTGAAAGGTAACTGTCCTTTTGACAAGTATAAGAACGGTGAAATTTAAAACATGAAGTTGGTAATAAATGACTAAAAGTTGAAAGCAGTGGAAGATTAGGTGCTAGGGTTATGGTGGGATAAGAACTGGCACATGTTACTTTTAGATATCAGATTTCTGTATACAACGACCAATCGCCAACGCTTCTGCAATGCACAAATAATCGGCAAGCTACTCACTTTGAACCTAGTCGTCCGACCATATAGATAATTTAGAGGGATATAACTGGTGGGGTAGGACTGACAAGATGTTCCAATATTGGATTGTTTTAAAGAGAAGGATGGGAAAGAAATGGTAAACGAAAAAAAGTCACTTTTTGGAACATCAGTTCGCTTATTCTCGGATTATTAACATTTAGTTTTCGTGACTGATAAAGACAACTGATCAAGAGTTGCAGAATTTCTGAGTAAGACGAAAAGTAAGTATGAGAACGAAACGTTTAGACGCTAAAAAGTTCTTTAAACTTTTAAAACATGAACTAAGGAGGAGTTCACAATTAATTATTATATTGCAAGCTTACGACCGGGCAGATTTTAGAAGCACTCATGGGGTTGGTTAGTTATCTGTCAACTTGAAATAGAAATTCAAATGGGACTTCATGGAAAAAACTATGCGACTTTGAAGATTCGAGAGATTCGGAGTATGAAGGGGAGTAGCATAAGGGCATGACTAGTAATGAATAATGAAAGAAGGGGGACTGTGTGCTATTCTATTTTGTTTGTCATATATGAATGACGATTGTAGTCCGTTATATTCATGATCGGTCTAAATATTAGTTGGTCCCCAGCAAAGTGCCTCACGATTGATAATATGCCAACTGTCTTTCATGAGCGGTGGCATCTAGCCATGTTCCTTTTACATATGGATGACAGTGAGTGTATTATATTAATGATTGGATTTTTCGGTATTCACGCTTAACTGGTTTTTGGCAAGAATAAGTTCCAGAAGTGTTTCTTATATCTCCACGGCTTCGAGTTTCCTCATGTGATAGTCGACGTGTTGACCATAGGGTGAACAGTAGTGTTGCGGACTCGAATGTCTTCGATAGACCCATCTGTACTGACCGACCAGTCCTTTTAGAGAGCACAGTCTCTGATTGCCGGAATATTAGCACCTCAGATATTGGGACGGGGCGGAGCAGATACATACTGTATATTGTGTCCGAAAATCAAGGTGCAGTACAACGTGATCACTGCAAGTTGGGGGAGGTGGTAGTTGTCAATAACGCCCATCACAGTGGTGTGTAAAGACAAGGTCCAGCAATCGCGGTTCATGTTCGAAGTCACTGTGTCGATTTTACGAAAGATTGCACAAGTGCACACCGAATAATGGTCAACAGCAGGCTGTTTACAAAACATCCACCTGAAGTTGTAAACTCCATACTGTTGATATGCGGCGCGTTGAAATCTCCAACGATGAGACAACAGTTGACCATACTTCAAGGACAGATATGACTAAAGGCAAACTCGTCAGCTAGACATCATGGACTACGGTACACTCCTCTTATAGTTAATAATCCATGTCTAGATTTAATTGTACAACGAGCTATAGCTGTGCCAAGTATACCTCACATGTACCACTATCATGCGTCTCAGGTTTGCTCCTGAGATTTTTAAGAGATTGTTGTGGGATGTCTCAGACTGTGGTATAGAGTGATATCCTCTGATAAGGCATGAAACATAGCTTAGACAGGATCTCATTTGGAACGAATTCAAGTACTGAGACAACATAAATATGCTTTGATCTGATCGCTGATAACTGTCTCGATACGCAAACCCAGGTTGATATAGGATACCAAAAGGCGGAGCTCATCAAAACATTTTTCTATGTACAGTTATCAAAAATGAAAATCACTTATTGATCGTTAAATTCTATTTCGTCTCAGCCTTTTTTTTAAAATCTTGTTTGTTTTTAGTCAATTTTAATGTTTTAATTGAAGTTTTATTGATAACTTTTGATTTTTTCGGTTTTCCAGTACTGTTGGCAGATTTTTTCATTAGCTGTTTAGGTACTACATGGTTGTTAGTTTTCTTTTTTGTTGTCTTTGCTTTTTGTTGTTTCTTAGAAATTTTTAAAGATTTTGATAAATCAGTCATTTCGATATCAGAATTTCCTTCGAAATTCTCTGGGTCATTATCAACATCATTTGATAACTCATCCTCTTCATCACTGTACTCATCGGTGGAGACACCTTCTAATTCAAAATCTGGCAATTCATCTAGATCACAATTATTAACACTTTTATCATCTTCATCCATTAAAGCAGCTTCTAAATCAAAGTCACTCTCATCGCTTTCATCAGTGTTTAGCGTAGGTTTGCTAGGTTCCTCGTTCTTACTATTCACACCACTCTTTTCATGTTTTTTTGTCTTCTCCTTTTTACTTTTCTGCTTGACTCTCGACTTAGATACATGTGTTACTGTTTTACCATCATCAATATCATAGGATGAATCACTATGCTCGGAGTCAGAGTTGGAACTGTCAGATTCTGTTTTCCGTTTACTTAAATTGTAATCTGTATTTGGCATAGGCTGTAGAATAGAGGAAAATAATACCAATAATTATAAGTAAAGTTTATGGAGACTATTAGCGAAAATACATTGTAATCATTTAGTGGTATGATGGTGCGGTAGCATTGTGGTTGAAGCATTTGGGTTTCAATCGATAGATTATAGGTTCAACTAGATAGTAATACTATTAGCTATCACATTTAAAATAGAACTGAAGGCCAAGTATATGAGTCAGTAGTGGGTAAATGAATTACCAATAGATAAATAATCGTGCTTGAAGAGACAGCACTAAGTTTAAGCTTCACCGAGAACATAAACACCGGAATCCAATTACATTTATTTAACCAGTCACAAACAGAACGGAACAGATATCTCGAGTCAGACCACTGCGCAGAAAATAGGATTATCTACGCACTCCATATGCAAGACCAGTAGTCTTAAGTATGTTTCTGTCATACAGAATTCTAATTCCCTAAAAAATGACACCAGAACTGTGGGAAAGTAGGATAACATCTGAGTTATGACAGTTAGACAAAGTGCTTTATGGAGAATTAACCAATATGGGATGTCCTTTCGGTGGAACTACATGATATTTCGAATTGATAAAAGTAGGAAACGTTACACCACATATCAACTTTGCAACTGACTGGTAACATACTGCATAGTCCGTTGGAAAGGTCAGGAGTGTACGGTTTTAAAGAGTTGTAGACAGACCACTAAGTAGATGACGGTTCAAAGTTCAATCATTTGACCCACAATTGTCTAGTTAGTCTCTAGTATCAGCACTACACACTCAGTGGTTCAATCATACACAAAAATGTGTCTATAATCAAATACCAAAGTCCTATGCTTATTGTTCAGCATTAATATGGTAGGTAAGAATTAATCCTAACAGTTATTATTATTTGAACACATAAATATCGGTAGAAGGGGCACCAAACACATATGAGCCACACAGATCTCATTTGATTTGTGTGAGGGCTGTGATACTGCTCGGGTGCCCAAACCGAAGCAGGTGGTTTTCTTAGGGGGCCACACTCGGAGCCTTCGACCTGAAGGTCTGATCCACAGGGCAGTGGAGCAACGTCAAGAGATGCATCCCAATGGTAGCCGGTGACCAACGATTAGTTCATACGCCATTTGTTCTTCAGGATACTGGAGCCAGCCCATGTGCACCATTGGTTTGGAATCAGGGTTTTCCAACTCCCTTAGGTGCGCTCTCCGTGTCCACCAACCCGGTTAAAGCGACGGACATTCGCTTTTCGTCCTCTCGATTTCGTAAACAACACCCCCGCCGCGAGAAGGTAGTGAGTAGGACTTCCCTGTCAGTGGTTGTATGCATGTGCCCATGTGAGAGCATTTCGAGAGGGAGAGCGGACTCTCCCCACTCTCGGCCGTACCAGGGCATTCGGGTGCAGTCCTAACAGTTAGATCTTAATTCTATTGGTGAATGAGTTTACTTACAAAATTCATATTATCCAATCGCTTATTTATCAAATGATATTTAATCGATGTTTATTTTTGTGCCTAATACTTTCTATATAAGCGTGTTATTCTGCTAAACATAAAATTGGGAATACCAAGTAATATCCTTCTCCATGAGAAATAGTATTGATTGAAAGAAAGATTTTAAAGAAAGTCAAATCTCTGAAGAACTCGAATCAGTTAATCATTTCGTTATTTTACCGATAGAGCTAAGAGTTACAAACATTGATTAGGTCTCAATTAAAAATAGAATAATAACTTCTTTTCATTTGTGTTAGTTGTTTGAATCTTCCTGTTGATGATTAGGATTGCAATCGACCAGTCGCTTTTGGTATATGCGAACCCAGTGCAAGTTGCCTTGATATTTCTATTAAGTCATAAGCATTACAAGCAGAGTTTGATAGGGACTAAAAGTGGAATGCAAGACGCACTTTCATCCTTAATGAGACTCGACAGCCGGATATTATCGCATTCCATAGGTAATAGCTTGTACAACGGGGTGAAGACGGGTCCTGAATTCTACTACTGGCCATCATCCAACTCTGATTGTAATACTTGTGACTTAATGACAATATAGAGACAATTAGGACTGGATAGACACAAACCAAAAGGGACTGGTCAATTGCAGTTCTAAACATCAATGGAAAGATTCAGAAAACCAATACAAATGAACTTAAATTCCCCCTACTATACAAGCCAGTGACTATCTGGACTTAATATTTAGGTGGATAGAGAGACGGAGTTCGAAGCGAACGGTACCGAGTTTGAGTCCTGATGTGGGCATCAACTGTGGAATGCAGGTACGTCTGATCGACGAGTCCAAGACGGGACGAAACATGTGTCCTGGATCCCAATGCTAGCCACCATCCAAATCGGCTTTTAATCAAATTCTGTGCTTACCTGCTACTTCCATTAACTTGCCTGGATTCACATATTAGATTTGCACATAAGGCCTAGTAATTAACCTTTTTCTCTATAGAAGAAACCAACGATAAATATCATAGAAAAATTAGATGATACAAGGTTACTCACTTCCTTTTTATTACTCTCAGTTAAGCGATTCAACTCGTTAAAACGAATTTGTTTGTGTTGTACATAGAATTGCCAAAATGGTAGAAGTTTGTTTGAACTATCGATAAAAGTACACGTCGACTCAATGTTCAGCTAGTGAAAAACATAAGAGAAACCAAATACAAAGATGAAGTCGTTACATAAATCATAATTTTTATAGGCTTTTTAATATAATTATTGTTGTCATTGTGCCCGAATACACTGCTGGCATTAATAAAGAGGTAATTTCACCGGTTATGAGTAGTCATTTGGGGACAACATTGACCAGACACAAAATTTCTGGGCATCTTTGTTTTTGAGAGGCTGCATAACAACTAAATGACCTGAGTTAGAATTGACGTTGTAACGGCGCCATATATGAAGATTTGTATTATTTACATTGACTCTAATAATACGTTGATTGATTTAAACTCCAACACTACTAACATACTCAAAAGGCTACCCAGATACACAAACTTTTCAATCATTTTCCGGTGGGTTACCACATGAAGCAAGTGTGGGTAGATTGTTAACAATATAATTGGCGCAAACCTACAACCTTACAGGATTTTCACCTCGAATGTTCCGAGTTATCTTACGTAATTCACCTTTGTCGGATATATCCCGATAATGTGAGCTAATTGAAAGGAACTTAATATATGGGATATTTTTTCCTGTACTGATAATGCAAATGCAATTTACGCCAACATAGTTATTGTGCTGAAACTATTTCATTCTTCATTATTAAAAAATATGCTAACGAATGAGAGTTCTCAGCAACAGGGGCAATCCAATGTCGACTTTTAATTGCCAAACATGTTATTACCGATATTATTATTGGTAAAGTTTTGAGTTATCTCTGTATTGAAACGCGAAACTGAGCTGTGATCAGTCGTTTTTTAGAACGCGTAGGTTCTGTGCGGGTTTCCTGAATACAACAATTTCATCACAAATTATTTAGAGTATCTACTCTGGACAACAATCCTGAGGTCTATGTAGAACCAGTTGATTAGTCAATCCCAGATTGAAAGAAACGCAAGTATTAGACTTTATTGCTACCAACAATTAACCAGGTGACACAAAAAAGTGGGAACACCAGTCAACAAAATTATCATTACCAACAATGAACTAATTTACTTACCATTTCATTCTTACTAGCTAAATTCCGAACACGCCTTCGACATTTAATAATCCATTCTGAATGTTCGCGTACTTTAATCATTAAAGCTTTCATCTGTCTACAAAAACTGGCTACACGACAAACATGTAAGAATTGTTTTACCTAAAATAAATAAATAAAATGTACATTATATAATGTGGTATGTCGTAGCTATAGCTAATAATAATGGGAAAAAGTAGCTTCAACTTCTACAATATTCATTTAGCTATAAATACTTATCTCAAGTTATTAGCACAAAGTTTGTAGTATAGGTACATCAATCTTTATGATGGCATAGCTGTGGAATAGTGATTTAGACATTCGATTTTGATCATAGAGATATAAAGTGAGAACGTCACAAATCGAAGTTTTGAATACTGATTAGCGCTCCTAGTCTTTTGTGGAACTGACTTACATTATAGTTACAACCAATGAACTTCAACCCAATTTTACTTACTAAGGTTCGAGAAGTCTGGTAAGATAACTAACCCTTATACGAATATATATTTTCGGTGTGAGTGAAATATCTGTTCATTTATGGACTGAAACACTAAATACGAATTTACTTGATTTTACTTTATGGTTAGGAAACGTGGCCTTTTAAAGTAGAGATCTATAGAGGTAACTAGTATTTGATTATGTCTTCGTAAAGTTGTTCACATATGATGGAATCCCTGTTATCATATTAATTTTGTATTGCTATATTGATTTGATGAATCAACTTAGGTCAATACACAGTTATTTTTAAGTCTAACGTTGATCATGACTGATTAAACATATATAGGATATAATGAAGAAAATTTGTGTCTGGTGGATACTTTTGGTGGTGTTAAGTTCTCTGAGCAAGGCTGTTTAATTGCTGAGCATCCACTGTTATTTTTAGCGCCTACTTCATGCATAAGATAAAGATAAATGCTCAACAATTAAACTACCTAGCTCAGAGAACTTAACACCACCAAAATATATACATGAATTCTTCAAATAAAGCGATACTTGACAGACTCACTTCAGTGATAAAAGGCAGTGAATACTCTGGAAAAGCAATTGAATTTGCATGTAATGCCATACATTCTGCTAATAAATCAAATAGCCAACTAATAATGGCATCATTTGATGCGGTTTCACGTAGTTGACTAGGTGTAAAGTGAAGCAACAAGCGTAAATCTAAAGGAGCATTTGAAGCACGTCCAGATCGTTGATTAAAGTTAACTAGTTGAAATACATCTAGCAATATTGGTAAAGTAGGTATTAATAAACGATTATCTGCAGATAAAGCTCTGCCAGTTAGTGGCAGTCGAAGATCGTTATTTTCCACCAACGTTTGCTTCCCCTCTGACAAGTTTGCTTCGCATAGAACAGGAACTCCAGCCATGTTATGAAGCATAGAAATGCAATGGAAATGCAACGGTAACCAACGTTGACCTTTATTTAATCTATTAGTAGGATAGATTTAAACTTCAGAGTTATTTCTTGAGGAAATGATGTGTTGAAAGTCAACTGACAAAAACGTTTCCATCTTACCATTTTAACAATTGGTAGTTTCTATAACGTGATCCAGACTATGTATAGCATATTAATCGAGTATCCAATTGTGATGGGATGTCGACTACCGGTCGTATTATCGAATATCGTGGCAAACGGAAAGGCCTTTATCCCACTTTTATTTCATAGGGTAATTCGCTAAGATCCTATCATACTTGAAGTCAAGTACAAACTTCTTAAGAGATCGATATGAAAATAAAGTGATGGTTTGATCTTACATGATTTTTTTTACTGGTTTTTGGCCACTCAGTTTTTCATGACAAAAAGGCAAAGCTTATGTTGTTACCTATAACATGTGGGTCTAGTTTATTCGAAATTTCAGTTGCATCAAGTGTTGGATATTTACAAAGCTCTTGTAGGAAGCCTGAAGCCAGTTTTCTTTAGGTTGGAACTTATTAATAAGATCTATCAGCACGTTAGGACAAATACTATTAGACTAAAAATGGCATTATTTAAAACTATGATCTATAGAGTTATTAGTGAGTTACTATGATTGTTACCAGTCTTTTGCTTTTATTTTGAACAGTATGTGAGCACTAGGTTGATGCATTACAATAAATTGCTTGTCGAACCATACTAATCAATGAATCTTATGCGAATGAATAGTTGAAATGTGTCCAAATGCAGTGAAAAATGAGACACGTCTAAACATTAAGAGTCATGGGTTTTCGGGATTGTAAATCCTTACTATTGATACATGCTAACAAGCTATTATTATTATTATTATTATTATTATTATTATTTGAACACATAAATATCGGTAGAAGGGGCACCAACACATATGAGCCACACAGATCTCATTTGATTTGTGTGAGGGCTGTGATACTGCTCGGGTGCCCAAACCGAAGCAGGTGGTTTTCTTAGGGGGCCACACTCGGAGCCTTCGACCTGAAGGTCTGATCCACAGGGCAGTGGAGCAACGTCAAGAGATGCATCCCAATGGTAGCCGGTGACCAACGATTAGTTCATACGCCATTTGTTCCTTCAGGATACTGGAGCCAGCCCATGTGCACCATTGGTTTGGAATCAGGGTTTTCCAACTCCCTTAGGTGCGCTCTCCGTGTCCACCAACCCGGTTAAAGCGACGGACATTCGCTTTTCGTCCTCTCGATTTCGTAAACAACACCCCCGCCGCGAGAAGGTAGTGAGTAGGACTTCCCTGTCAGTGGTTGTATGCATGTGCCCATGTGAGAGCATTTCGAGAGGGAGAGCGGACTCTCCCCACTCTCGGCCGTACCAGGGCATTTGTAATTGATTACCTACCTTCTCTACACTTTTGGTCTAAACAGTGGTACACAGTGGAGCGCCCTGTTAACCATGTCAATCGCTAAACTAAATTCGCATATTTCTAAAATTTGATTACCCCTGATCTCCATAATATTTTTATTCCTGGATACCACTTAACAGCTGTGTTGCGTTCATAAGCCTTCAATTCACAACATAATAACTAATCTGTGATTGTGTCGTCGCTGAAAATTCTGATGTCACTATCTTGAAACATCGACTTCGGTGGCTTGGACATGTTCTACGAATGTCGTCCCAGAGAATTCCACGTCGTACATTATTTGCCGACGCTTAAACTGGTTGGAAAAAGCGGAGGTGGTCATTGCACGACATGGTGTCGTGGCGTGAAAGAAAGCTGTACAGAACTGGCTTCTATTGGATCTTCACGACTCCCTTGTTGGGGTTCTAGGGGTGGTGCAACACAGTGGCTAGAGACGTTATCAGATATGGCTCGGATTAGAAGACAGTGGCGATCCTGATGAGACTTTCTTCATAGAAGTGAACGTACGTTCTTTAACTGAAAGAACCCTTCCTGGTTTTATTTTTCCTGAGTAAACTGCTTCTTCTATTATTAGTTTCACTTTCATAAATCCGGTGAACCATAAACTTGAGCGTGAGTTTAACAGAGAATAGAGTAAAAGAGGATTTAGTGCCGATTTACCTATTGTACTTGGAAGAAGACATACGAAATGCAACGATGCGATAGATTTACTTTTAAATATGTTACATTACACACCAACTACTGATAGGAAGTATGTATTGTCATAAGGCATTCTTAAATTATCAAGTGTCCTGAAAAAGTAGTTTGTGACCGGACCGTTTTTTAAAGATGTGGTTCTCAGGAGCCTAAATAATTAACTTATTAACAAGGACACACTAAAAAACATTAAGTTTAGTGCAAACAATTCCGACGAGACCATAATTTATGGACGAACCGATTACGTATAAGATAACAGGTCTCGGATTTTCGCGCGAAATGCACTCATCCATTTGGATAAATTGAGTTTTTGCACTATAGCTAATGCCAGTCCGTGATGAAAACCCGAAATCTAATTTCTAACAATAACCATCGACTTTAAATTATAATTCTAATTCCTCACACAGGTTTATAACCCTCATTTGGTCCTGGTTATAAAGTGGATACTCTCAAGGTCAGTCTAGCGTCGCTCAAAGGTCGTCCGTAAATTAATCTCACAACAATTCCAATTAATTGCAAACCACTACTAATCAGGGATCAAGAATACTAAATCTATTTCATATATGTAAAAATAGTCTTACTTGATTGTTCCATATACCAGTTGGCTTAGTGGATGAATAAGTGACTTTACTAAAGCATGGACATCTGCGTATTTTGAAGCGAAGTCGCACCATAAGCGAAGGCTACAAACAAACTGCCAGTTAGCCACAGACTGGATATCTTCCTGGAAATAAATACAAAGTGTTACCTCTTACTAAAAATGGACATAGTAGAACTCTACAAACAATAATGCGAAATAAAACTAGTTTCACGACAAGCAACATTAGACAGACATTCAGGTGATATTGGTCACAAGACAGCAACTAGTCCAACTGGAGAAATGATTGATAACATACCAAGCTACCTACATGAATGGTCGGAAAACCAGTTCATATTTTCAGGAACGAGGCAAGCCAAAAGTTCTTCGACCGTTACAGGTAAAAACTTCAGTGAATGAGAATATTTACTTAAAGATATTTACTCGTCAATTTTACATGAGCCTCATTGATAGTAAATGTGATGCCATAAGGCAATTCTATTGAGCATCACTTTTCGAAACATAATTTACGTTAATCAGAAGCAGAAACATGTTAGACGAACTACAAGAGGAAAGCAAAATGCGACTAAAATCACTGACTAACAAACTTACTTTATTCTTAGAATTATATGCCTTTCTTAGAGTTATCGCGAGTTGTCGAGTGTAGACAAAGGCATGTACGTATGCATCGTCCAGATTCTTACCGAATAGCTCCAAGAGGCACTCACGCATCAAGTTGATCTGAGCAATGTTTGACGCCAAGACGAATTTACAATTTCTAACGAAGGCCACAAACATAAGTTTGATACACAAGCCGGCGCATTCTTTTTTTAACGAAAGGGCCTTTATAAGGTTAAGGAAGGCCAGGAGTCTTCGTGAATCTTCATCTTCACTCCATGTTTTAACCATCAACTAGAGACTTCATTCTCAAAAAATAATTAGACAGACCTTGAAAAACTTTTTCTCCAACTTTTCATGCCTTAAAATCTTCGTATTTTGTTATTGATGAGTCTGAGATCTAGGATCGGATTTTTTAGTAATGACTTTAACATTCCTATGGAGTTGGTGCGGTGCCTTAACCTTGAGTTTTAAAAAGTTAGCATACGATATCCAGTATCTTTGTCATGAAATTGTACAAACTAATCGGCCTCTTCACACTTGCTTCTTGATGATTCTGTGTAACTTCAGATCTTTTATACCGTTCAGTGTGTGGTATTATAGCCATTTGACTTCAATAATTCAACTTATTCTGACATTTATTTATGGAAATATTTATCTTGTTATGTGGGTGCTCTTCAAGTGCTCTCATATGGACGGAATACGAGAAACTTTCGCTTAACGAACTTCATTTCTAGTGGCAATAGATCGATGGTGCTTCAAAGTAGGAGGCTAGGCGTATGGACCAACAAAATAAAAAATATCTGTAAATTAGTATTAACTACTATCCTGCGTACTGGGTTTCAAGACTTAAGTTCTCATGAATAGTTGAAGGTGTGACTGCAAGCCATTCGAACATCTTGTGCCTATAAATTCCGAACGTAGTTCTTAGGTCTTGTGTCAGCACGGAGCTTAGTTTAGTTTTAAATGGAGATTCAGGAGTGTTCAAGATGTTATGAGTCGTTGAATGTTCATCTCTTAGACTCTTGTGCCATAATAAGCAAATGTTTGGTGATTGAATTTGAGACCGCAAACTGATTTGGCGATTCAATTTTGGATAAATCCCAGTGTACTCTTATCCTTTTGTGGTGCATTAGGAAAAATCGCATTTCCATACACCGAATGAGGCCGAATAAAATTGTTAGAGGTTAGGTGAAACATCCTACTGTCAAACTTGCCTAAAATGCGCTTCAACGTTATCAATGAAAGGTTTGCTCGAAAAACATCCTTGTCACCGTTAGCACAAGACTTTAGATAACAGAGTGCCAACACTCCTAGGTGTTATTCAACTTGAGACACACCCAGAGGAGGGTTAACTAAGTTGTATGTGTTGTCTGCAACATGACTCGGCTGTACTACTTTACACTTAGAAGTGTTGAAAGTAAGTCGAGTATGATGATCCCTCCAACACACGATATTCGGTGTCAGCAGTAGCGTCTCTGTTGATTGTTACAACTAGGCATGTTAGGGTGTTAGAAAGTCTCATTAAACTACACACAGATTGGTGGAGATTGGCAAACTCTTGGGTGCACACTTGACATGCCACATAATGGGATCGCAAGTACAGGGCTTACCTCCTCCCTAACCATTATCGGCGACTGATAGTTTGGTCCTGTTCCCATGAATTTCCCTTTAGTAATCTGAGGTACTGCTGATGTGATACTTTTTTCTGTTTCAGCGAGTCAATTGCGAAGATTAGTTGGAAAAATATCCGATGAAAATTGTGGATAAATACTGGGTAAGCGCTAGCATTACTCATGACTCGAGATGTTTAATATATTAACTGATTGTAATTATTGATTCATATCCCTTTTACTTTATTGTAATTATGATTGAAGATTCCCCATCTGTCTTTGATATGAATTCTTCATTTAGTTGTTTTAACAATGTTCTTCAAAATATGATAATTAGAAGTACTTTAATTATTTTGTGCGGTAGGAATCCACGAAATTGCTCAATTTTAATTTAACAAAACTAAGGGAGCTCGAATGAACGTATTTTATTCAGAATTCGAAGTCAGGAAGTCATAAAGTAGAAAGGAAATAATTAGTCCATGCAAACACCACGGCTGCCACAACCTTGCCTGAAATCCAAATTTGTGATCATTTGAATGTCCTCTTTTCAATCCATTACGTGTCAGTCAGACTGTGTTTGGATGTAGACTTTGTATGATCTAGAATATGCCCATTCGTATTGGAATTAACGACTGAAATTGAAACAGACTCACCTGGGTCCTGGAGTTGTATGTGATCAACAAGTGGGTTGTGTATTGAAATCACTGACATCTAGAATTTGAACCATAGATTTCCCGCTACCACCCTTTCCCACGAAAACTTTTCGGGTTCTTATGTCGCAGTGACATGATCAGATTGACGTTTTCAATCTGCGTTATCTTCCCATATCTCACACGTTGATTATTATGTGTGAGTATTTGGGGATACACATTGATATATAATTTGGGGCATTCTATCGCATGATTCATCTAGGCTTGATTCACCTGCAAAGCAATCAAATGGAAAATATGGAAAATATGCTCATTGGGATAATCTTGAACTCTATTTGAATTTTCTGCTTGTGTGAACTTCATATTTGGGTAAACTGGCTCTCTGACTGCTTCGGGAAAACTTGCTATTCCTTTTGACTCATCGTATCGATGACTCGTGATTCCATTCGTTTTACATTAGTTGTGAGAATGTTCAACATCTGAATCAATAACATCAGAAATGTCACTAGAATTCGACTCACTTGGGACATATTTGTCACATTCCTTAAGAATATCACTAGAGATAAATGCATTGTGAGGACGAATAACATATGATGTGACAGCATGAGACTGTAGTCTAACTAATTCGAAACTTGTTCTTCACATTTAATCAAGATTTTAATAAAAATAAATAAATCAATCGGACAAAACATATCGGATAAAATAACATCACTTGACATGTCTACCACACTTATGAAAAATTTCATTAGAAATACATGAATCTTGAGAACAAAGCATATCTGGTAAAATGATATCACGAATCTGACCAGAGTATGGCTCAGTTAAAACATTCAACTTGGTAAGGTCGGAACTACAAAATCTAACATTGCATGCTGCGAAATGAACAGTATTATCGCACATTAACTGAATATGTCTAATCTTACCATATTTAAAACATTTAGCATCACGAAACACACATGAATTACATTACAGAAATTTACCACAGGACGAATATTCATCAAACTTGTGAACATCTTTGTGATCCTAATGAATTGTTATCTGCATAACCTTGAGTACGTATTGGATTGTGATGACGTATTAATGCAGAGGAATTCTTGACTCCCTAATGAATCGTTTCATGAAAATATTCTCCTTCACAGCATTCAAAATTTGCTTATCTTACGTTGTCTAGTAGCAGCTGCTTGAGAGTTGCGTGGGAAGGTGAGGTCGGTTTGTCTGGAAAGGCCAAAATGTTTAGTAAGTTGTAGGCCTTTTTCCGATGAATGTAAGAAAACAGATAACGATATTGACATCTTCAATAGCTTCCTTGTTCATGCATTAGATTTTGAACCTTGTCATATAATCACTGAAAGCACTCGTGATCTGGAAAAAAATTATGCACTAACATGATTTTGAGCATATTAGCAAAAGTTTTTGTTTTTAATTTTTTTGACATAATGATGCAAAAATCATAACGAGACGAAACAAAATGTTATTTGGTGTTTTGTGTGCAGAATTCCTTCAAGAACACGTGTTCTGGAGTAATTACTGTTTTACCAAAAAGCATTGTCTTATGTTGGATGTCAGGTACCACCGAAGACTTTCGTAACTGTTGATTATAGTGTGGGGTATTGTAATTGCAAGTCATACGTCGTTCGATTATACCGGAGGGAAGTCGACATGATTCTGGTCTCCCTTTAAAATCTCGGCTCTGAGACGGCCGATGCTGATGCCATTGTTGGTTTCGTTCTTATCGATGGTACAGTACTTATATTCACGCTGAAGAACTTTGAAGGGTCCTTCGTACTCCGTTTCAAGAGGTCGTCAAAGTGAGTCGCGACGTACAAAGATGTGTGTATTATATCGTGGGGCAGGTTGAACGAAATCATCACTTAACTACTGTCGAGTGAAAACGGGCTTAACTGAACGCATGGTGTGCATAAGCCTGTTCGTGTTAGGGTTCGGATCCATATTAATTATAGAAGGATTCACGAATTGTCCTGGAAGTCGAAATGTCGTCCTGTCAATGTTTTGAGCTGCAGTGCATCCAAAGTGAGCTTTCTCTGGATTGCAAATACCGAACAACCCTAGTGGAAGGCACGAGCCGCAGTTATGTCTCTGTAGGATTTAACTTGTTCTACAGATGTTCTATCGGGACTGTAAACGCAATGTTGACGACCCATTCTATGGGAAAAAGAATGACTTGGCTTTTAACTTTATCTGTTTCTAAACGTAAAAAAGAATTTGATTTGCACAATAGTTTGAGGAATTTTAGTCATTAAGTGAAACGCACAAGCATACCGACCAGTGTTGTGTGTCTTATGGAAATGAATAATAATAAAAATATGAGTTGTAGTCACACTAATATAATAGAATAATAATGTCATTCAGTCAGCGGGTCACATGCAACAGGGATAGTTTGCAAACACATTAGATCAGTTTGAAGTAGTGGACGTTTTAAGTAGCGATGTGATTAGTTTGTTATTGGCATAACTAACAGTCCTTGACGGGTGCTGCTTCTAGCCATATTGTTAAACGGTCTACACAAGTTAAGGGTCCTACCAAACCAAGTTGAACGTGGACGAAACAAGTGTCTTGAGTTTTGAAAGAACCTGAGGGATATTTTTTGCGTCTGATCACCTTAGATTTCTGGTAGTCTACAAAGGAGCGTGCCCACTTCCCTACGTCTTTATTCATTCCAGGCCAACAAAATCGTTTTGCTTTGAGCTTGATGGTTGCTCGAATACCTGGATGAAAAAGCGTGTGTAACGCACTGAAGACGCTACAGCAACAAGATTTCGGTACGACTGAACGATCCCTACCTGTAGATGTGTCGCATAATAAGGTCTCCTTACCTGTCCCCATCTGTTTAATACGTAGTTTTAGGGTTGTTGAAGATAACTCTTGCTGAAGATCAGTGTCTTGTTTTCGAAGCTGCGCGAGTTTAAGAAGGTCGATCCCTTGGAAACTGTTCTAAGAAGTTGTAAGAGACAAAGCGTTTGCAACTACATTGTTTGCTACAGAAATGTGTTGTATATCTGAAAAAACT